CGATTTACGACTCTCATGATCTTTGTGTCTTCAACCTTAATAGTATTCAACGATCGCTCTAAAAGACACTTGAATGCAATTTGTTAGAGTTAAATGTAATTTGTTTGTGATAATCAAAACGAGAAGTTATTCATAGGTCAACATTGATGAGTTTCAAACAATCTAAAGAAAACAAAATCTAGGATAAAAATTTATGAGAAGAAAATTGTACTCTCAAAACTCAACTTCTATGATTCAAATTTTTTGTGACTATGAAATGCTACAAATGAGCGACATTTTTATACTGCATTTGGTAATAAAAATTTATATAATACATGAATTTAAGTACACATTAAAATTCTTAGATACATGAATAGGAATAAATTCATTTATAATAATCTATATTCATGTAGATCAAGATTCAAGTCAAGATTCATTTGAGTATAGATTAATTTGAATGTTAATTAATTGAGAATTAATGACACGAAATTAATACATAGCACATATTTTATAGTATTTATTACATATTAAAAAACGAAAAATAAGGCATTATTGAAATAATTAAATTGTAGTAGAGTTAAAATCGTCCAAAAAATGATTCTCACTTGATGTAATATTTAATATATCATAGATATTGTGGCTAAAAAATTAAAAAAAAAAGTTTTTAATTTACGTGTAATATTATTTTATAGGAGAACGTGTGGTTGGAAAGAGTTTTTGAAAAAATGGGACCAAACATAGACTTAATAGACAAATTAAAAGTAAACACTCTTTAATACACAAATTAAACAACAGTAATTCTTGTAAAAGGATGCATGAATTTACAGACCATAAAATTAAGCAATAACCAATATGAATAGACAATTAAGAAGAGGCACTTGCTTGACCTAAAAAAAAGGTAATATTGGAGTTTTCTAAATAAAAAACTGAAAACAGAGAACTAAAATCCAAAAGTCAGTAAAAGTGTAAAACAACAACCACGTCAAATAATCATGGGTAATATTTCAAGTTTCACCATCGAAATGATAAATGCCTAGTTTGATAACTCACAACGACATATGTAGAACTAGGTTGCACCGACATAAAAAGAAGGGGAGAAACCAAAAAATAAAAAGTTATATAGCTAAATCGTAAATGCGATTCACAGTGGGAAACGGGAAATAAACGATAGAAAAATAGGCTTCAATGTGTCTCTTCTACCCAATCAACAGCTATGATTTGAAATCCAGGTGATGGTGGGCGGAAAACGGAGGCATTTGTCAGTGCGTCATGATGAGAAGGGAAAATAATTGGGGTCCATTTGATTGTAAGAATGAAATTGGGTAGAAAAAAATAAATTTCAGGGAATTAAATTGCCTAAAACTTGTTTTATTGGGAATTGTCAATTAATTGTGTTTGATTGGTATAATTTTTCACCTGAAAAATATTGAAATTTTGGATCTTTTGGTGTTCGTTTGACTTTATTTTTCATAAAAATTATTCATCAANGTGTTCGTTTGACTTTGTTTTCATGAAAATTGTCCATTAAAGAGATAAAATTTATTAAAATTGAGGATATTATTTTTTTTCATTTCAAAAAAAAAAAAAAAAAAGCTTAGAAAAGCTTTTCCCACCACCAAACCCATGGGAAAAGCTTTTCCTCAAAAACCAAGAAAGCGTGGAAAATCAATTCCACGAAAAATTTAATCAATGTAATATGCAAAAATGTGCAAAAGGAATTTAATTTTCATATTCCATAAAAAAGAAAGCCAAATCAAATGGGTCCTTATTTCAATGTTAAGGAGGCGGGCAGTAGAGTTTATAAACATGGACAAATAGGTCCGGGACAAGAAAATTATCACGACTGGGTGAGTTAACAAGTTTGACTAGGGTATTTAGCCCATGTCCCTTATTTTAATACTAAAATTTCTAATATAAGAGCCCCGTTTCATTCCATTATTTTTAAAATGCATTTTTATTTTCCCATTTCAACAACGTATTAATCAATAAAATAATATTATAATTAAATTCAATTTTTTTTAACCACTTATTTTTCATCAATCTCTTATTTCAAAATGCATTTTTAGGCAAAAATGGAGCTCAAACGGGCAATTTAAGCCCATGTTTGGCACTCATTCTCATTTTTTTTTTTTCTGTTTTTTCATTTCAATCACACATTCTTCCAATAAAATAATATTACACACAAATTTATAACTTTTCATAACTTTTTTACCACACATTCTCGCATCAATCACTATTCCAAAAATTCTATTATCCAAAAAATGAGTGTCAAACTTAACATATTTTTCTTATGGAAGATACATACCTATATCTATATCTAGTAAAAGAGCAATGTTCGTATTTTATCATCAGGTCAAACAAGGTGGTGTTTTCTCCACTTTGTTCCCGTATTTATGGCTTTACAATCAAAGGGAATATCAATACATTTAGGTCCCTTTCGATAGCACACATTTTCCATTTTCCAACTTTTCAAACTTTCCACATTTTTGAGGAAAATAAATTCTTGATGTTTTGGTGGGTAAATATTTTTCATTTTTTTTTTTGACAATTGAAAAAAATTTTAGGTACAATAGTAAAAAATTTTCACTTTTATTGACAATTTCCATGCAAAACAAAGCCAAACGAATGGTATTTGGTATGATTTTTTTTTTTTCAATTTTTTTGGCAATTAGAACAAATTCTAGACCCAATGGTAGAAAATATTATCACTTTAATGGACATTTTCCATAAAAAAATGAAGTCAAATGGATACCAAACTTTCAATATTTTCCATGAAAAATTATACCAATCAAACACAATTCATTACAATTTACAGTAAAACAATTTCTAGGTAAATCAATTCCCTGTAAAACATTTTCTTTCTACCCATTTTCCACATTTGCAATTTGGTTTAATTTCCATAAAAAATGTCGCATCCGATGAATTCAATTTTTATTTTGACTGTTTGATACGAAAGTGGAAATGAAATTCGAATTTCAAGGTACAACCACTTTAAGTTTATTTTTTGTCAATTTCATGAAAAATGCATTCATATTGTATACTTAGTTTTTATTTTCCAATTTACATGGAATTGAAAATTTTTTCCAACTTTGTCAATCAAACGGACCCTTATACATTAAGTGTGTGTTTGGTAGGGATTTTTTGGGGGAAGAATTGATTTTGAATAGTGATATGATGGGAAATGTGTGCTTGAAAAAGAAGATAAGATTATTGATGTGATAGAAAATATTATTTTATTGAAGAATGTGTGGTTGAAAATGAGAATTGATTTATTGTTGAAAAAGAGAATTGGTACCAAACATAGCCTAAATGTAAAATTGAAACCTAAACCAAATGGGAATAGGAGAAATAGAGATGATTCTCACGAATGATAACAAAACAAGTAATCAAACACTAACCCATTTCACATATTCCTATAATTGAACACTGATGAGTGATATGCAAATGATTCAAGCCATGCACAAACGCACAGATACAGAGAGATATATGTATCAACATATATTGAGGGTTGGATGACCTGAGAAGCCGCGAGACAAACCTTCAGGCGGTAGGGATTAAAATCATTTTTAATAAATTTTGATAAAAAGTTATGAAATATATTGTTAAAAAATTGTGGGTCTCATAAAATATGAGATTAAAATTAATTATTAATTTTAACTTATATTAAAATCTGAATTTTAATCCTTACCAAATAAGAATTAAAATCCAAATCCTAATTTAAATCAAATAAATAATTAATTTTAACCACATATTTGATGAGATCCACATTTTTTAATCATAAATTTCACCAAATTTTATTAAAATCTATTAAAATTTTAATTTTAATCCAACAAACAGGAACATAGTTCATAAGGGCTGGTGTGATAAAATAAAAAAATAAAAAATCCGTAAAAATTTATTATTATTTTCATGGGTTTGTTGCCATTGTAACAAAGGTTTTTTTTATTTTTTTACAAGAGTAGGTGTAGTCCTCTAAAAGGTTCGCCATAAAAACAATTTTTTCTTGTAGTGACTTACTTTTTTTATAGTCTTCATAAATACCATGGCTGTATATTGATTTGAGTATTCTATTGATCCAAATCGAAGGATTATAATCAAGTCAATACAAATATTTAGATATAAAAGAATACATAGCAATCAAGTCGAATAAAATATAATGTTAAAGATGTCAAAATCGAGTGCTATGATGTCACACTCTTTCCATATGGGTGATTGTAGCACAATAATTTAGCTAATTTAACGAAATTCAAAATGCAAGTACCATGAGTATTTGTGGGTCAAATATTTTTACATGAATCCAATGCCCGAGGGAGTTCGACCGAGAAGAAAAGCTCGAAGAGTTTAGGTGTGATTCACACTTAGGTGAAAAAAAAGTACTTCTATAGGGGATGACTTTCGTGTTCAACAGGGGTATGAAATATGATTTAAATTTTAATAAGATTGAATTTAGCTGAGTTGTCTACTTGTCTTTAACAAGAAGGAGACGACTAGGACTCCAATTCGTGCGATTATACGAAGTCAAGATATGAAGTTGTAGTAGTTGATGATCGCAATTCAAGATTAAGCCTCGTTCTAGTAAATTTCGATCCCCACATATGAAGACACGTGAATATAGAAAATACTAAGATAAAAAAATGAAATTCACATGAAATAATTAACAAGGACACGATTGGAAAAGCTTATGTTTTAAAGACAATAAAAACAAACTGAAATCGTGTTCCGTACAATTTGCCAATTGGAAAATATACCATTTTTTTTGAGAAACTGGTGCAAGAAATATAAGACAGCGAAACAATTTCTCAGAATAAACCCAAGATATAGTAGCTATAAAAAAAAAGTGGTAATTACATAAAATAGTACTTTAAGTTTTAAACTTCTAAAATCAGGTACAATGTTTCACATTTTCAAAATCAGATGTTCTATTTTAATTAAAAAATATTTTAATAAAATAACAAACCCTCTTTCATTTTTATAACCACTCTCTCTATCTATCTTCTCTTACTTTAACACACACATTCTCTCTACCCACTGCCGTCGATCCTCCACCCCACCCTTCCAGCATCGAATGGCGGCGCAAGGCTGTTGCGAGCCCGCCGCAGCTGTAAAAAATTGGTCGTCGCCGCTGCGAGCTCTGCTGCCGAACTAACGCTCCTCTTCCCTTTGCATCCCTCTGCGAACTCTTCTTCAACAACACCCCTAAGAATCTGCTCTGAACGTTGCTGCTCCTGCCGATGCTGCGGCGCCAAAACGGCTCAGATCGTTGCTGCTCCGACCGTTCAGTTCGCCACCGTCACTCCAACTCTCTCCCATTTCTACCCTCTCGCCGTCTCCAGTATCTCCACCCGTCTCCGCCTCTACTCCTCCACTGCTCACAGGTGTCTCGTCGGTGTGAGCACCGCTTCTTCTGTGCTAGCGACGCCACACCGCGGGCAACGATATGAGAGCGGCATCACTCGACGCCGCTACAACCTGTGGCGGCATCCACTCCCAAGACCTCTAGTATGTTCTTTGTTCTCTGTGGATTTGAGGTGGTAGCAGTGGTGGGTTTGGGTATTTTTGTTGGGTGGTGGTTGTAGGATGGTGTGGTGGATACGGAGATGGAGGTTCTCTGTGATTGTTGTTGGTTGGTTTTGTGGTAGATTTTGAGGTGGTTGTAACTACTCCGGTTGTAGCGGCACTCAGAGCGTCATTGATCTGAGCAGCGGTGCCGAATCTTAGCGGTAATGCTTAGTAGTGGTGAATCTTAGTTGTTGTCGACATTGGTAGTGAATCTAGCGGTTGCGGTGATTTTTGTTTGGATTTAGTAGTGGTGGATCTAACGATG